TACCTCTGGCAGCACCACAGTGTACTTTGGAGGCATGAGCAAACAGTGGGAGAGTCTGGGAGCTTTGAGGGCTAATCTTTTTACAACCATGGATTTTCTATATAACCACAGGCAAGTCTCTTTGTCTTACTTTACGTCCTTGCACAGGGGAGATAGAAGTACCAGCTCACAAGGGAACCATGGATGTAAATTAACGTTTGTGAGTCAGGGAACAGGCATACATAAATAATCATATGATGAAGAAGAAGTGGTAGAAATCAAATACTTACAGAGTTCAAATAGACCTAATGGAATAGAATCCTGCACAGCATCAGTAAGCTCTAGTTCACAACTCATGTGGAGAAAAGGGTTTGATTCAAGTTACATAAAGAGTCTTAGCCCTGGCACAGCTCTGTCCATGCATTCTTGGTTTTGGAAATCAAAATCCTGTTCTTCACCTACTGCATTACTGGTGCATGATTGTGCACTGCATGCAGGCTTTGCTTTTCCCACTTCATTTGCTCTTACAAATAGTCCTTGGAAACTGCTCCTCAGAAGGGGGTTCCTCATCACCTTGTGAGTGACCTTTCCATTACCTCCTTCCCCACTGGACTAAAGGCTTGCTGTTACCATTACTTGATAGTAGTAACAACTTTAAATTACTGGGACAAACTGTAAGACAAAGAACTGTGAGAACTATCTGCACCAAGGAGGTCAAGCAGATACAATTAGTGATGGTTTACAGAGCCTTTACTTTTCCCATTTTCACTTTCATTTCTATGGTTTTGTTGTCCAGTGTTTTAACACTTTATGTAATTACTCTTGAAATCCACATAACTAATGAATTTTTTCACAGTGTTCTAAATATGTATATATGTATGTATAATACTTTTCCAGTGAGTTTAATTTTCCATGTGCACCAGCCAAAGCTGTTAGGCATAGTGCCTGGCTTATGAGCCATTGAAGAAAAGTGTGCCTAAGGTTTTCCCAGCTGCTTGTTCAGGATTTTGCTGACCCATATGGACATTGCCCCTTTGCTGTCGTATGTGAACAGGCAGAGAAAAGAGAAGCATGGAGTAGTAGATGAAAACTCTTGCTGAGCAGCTTTAGGTTGCACTTGGTGGCAGAAGTACAGGTTTGTGCTTCTGTTAGGTTTTTACAAGGTATGGAAATGGGCCTTTTTTTTTTTTTTTTGTCTGCTTCAATTGAATTGAAGGAAACAACATGCTCATGAAGCTTCATCCTAGCATGCTGAAATGGATTTCTCTCCAGTCAATTTACAGCAGATCTGAGCCATTTCTCATTTTTACTCCCCCTCTAAAAGCAGGTGAGTTACGTAAACTTCATGTAAGAGAGAGCATAACCTTCTCCACCACTTGCCTGGTACTTGCCTTTGGTACTGCAGAAGCCCAAGCAATTAACACTAGCTAATTAACTTTATCTGACTACTACACTGAAACGACCTAAATTTTTAAAGATGTTTATATAATTGATTTCCCGTTTTTAATATGAATTAACCACCTTAATATGTTTAAAAATTAAGCCTTTTTTTCAGCTCTATGCAGTCCAACATAATCTCTTGTGTGTGCTTTTTTCCTCTCTCATGCAATCCATGTGTCAAAATTATAAACTTCAAATCCCTGCATTTACTGAAAATTTACCTTGAATGGCACTGTATTTGCTGATCTGTGAAAGACAACATGAACAGGCTCTCCAGAGAAAATGGAGTTATCAGGAACATTTGGGGACAGGAGATATCTCACTATGTGCAATGTGTATTGTCTGAGAAGGAAACAGAGTGCAAAAGCTTGCTATGCATAAGGCAGTGTTTTACCAAACTGAATAAGAGGTTCTAATTTTTTTTCCTCAATAACCCAACAAATGTTGCTACTATGGGGAAAACTTCACCAATAAAGAGTAAGAATGAGCCAAGACTTTGCACTCCGATCTCCTTCAGTTATCGTGACACCCCAGGTTGCAATACTTCTTTACCATCTTGGCAAACATGCTCTCAGAGCTCAGCTAGGGTCCCATCCAGTGAGTCGAATAGCAGGCAATAGTCTTTCTTCCTTGTGCTAGTACCTCTGCTAACCCAAGAATATCCAATGAGGCTGATAGCTGGAAGGCAAGTCTTGTTGCTGTTCCAACTCTTTGTTGCCGCTTGCATGTGTGGAGGGAAAGACAGTGATTTCTTCTGCCATATGAGAAACATCTTCCAGGGAGCCAGGGCCAGCCTTGGCAGCTAGAGAGGGTGTATGATAAAATAGAAGCAGCTGCATGTGACTGTATGTTTGTTCTCCCAGGGTACCTGACAGAACTTTGTGATGTTGCACACTCCTTAAAAGTAACATGCTTAGCTTTGACTCTAAATGTCAAGTCACATTCATTAATTATAATCCATGTTTCTTTGCTTCCTTGGCAGTAATCACCATCTTAGGATTCAAGATACTTCCGACAGGGATACTTCCACTACTATCCTTCCCACTATGGGAAGGATATTTGTTTTCTAACAATTATTACAAAACTGTCTGATCAATACATTCTTACTTCTTGGGGAAGAAAAACAGCCTGGCATAACAACTGCAGAGGGGACCAGCATCTCTGCCCTCCCTCCCAGACCAGAGGCATGGATAGAAATATCTGGAAAAGGAACCAGCACTGAAGTTGCTTCTCACTAGTCCTTTTCTGCAACACCAGGACTGGGAAGCCTAGAGCCCATCTGTTAGATCTTCATGACTTGTCTCAGCACTTGTAAAGAACGTCTGCAACTGCATAATAAGCAGAGATGTGCTGAACAGTTTTGGAAGAATAGAACTAGGCAACTAAGAGAGGGATCTTCAAAAAGTAATACAGTAAGTGGGATGTTACCAGCAGAAAATGCTGGGAGGAGGAGTAGCTGCAAGCCCTGGCCTTCAAAAAGAGCTATATCCCTAGCACAGTGATGGTGGTAAGGCAACTGTGTCTGCTCCAGATTTTGCGGATACTGGAGTGAGTCCAATAAAGAGCCATGAAGATGAATAAGCGATTGGAGCATCTGTTGCACAAGGAGAGGCTGAGAAAGCACGGACTGCTCAGCCTGGAGAAGAGAAGGATTATAGGCAATATGTATAAACACCTGACAGGAGACTGTGAAGAAGAGAGAGCCAGGATCTTTTCAGTGGTACTCAGAAAAACAGTGAAAGGGAATGAGAATAAATTAAGAAATACTAAATTTCATCTAACCACAACAAAAATTGTTTACAATGAGGGTGGTCACACAGAGCAGGTTGCCCAGAGAGATTGTGGAATTTACACGTGGAGATATAAAAAACCTAAATGGACGTATTCCTGGGCAATTTACTGTAGCTGACCCTGCTTTGGAGTGGTAGTGCTTGGACTACATGATCTCCAGGGATCCCTTTCAATCTCAGTGATTCTATGATTCTTAGATCAGCCAAAGACATACAATAATCCTAAGCCTTTCAGGCAGCAATGAAACCTCCTTTCTGACATTTTCATTTAGCCTAAGTAATAAAATGATCATTAGGAGACAGAAAAAGTGAAAAAAAGCGTGACTATAGCCAGAGGGTGAGGGTAAATCAGGTTGAAATTTCTTGCTTCACATAATATTTCATAATGATATAAAGTATAACAAGTTTTGAGAGAAGCATTGAGAAAAAAATATTTTTTCAGAACACCAACGGCTGGTGATAAGAAAATTTTCTGCAATATTAGAAGAGGCAATTAGGTTCAGACCTAGATCTCCCACATGTAAACTGACTGTTTCAGTACTGGAAATATTAGATATTTAATGATTTTCAGAGTGAAAGAAGAGTGGAGTTTTGACCAGAACCTGTGTGTTTGATACTAGTGAGAAATCTGTACATTGTTAAAATACGATTCACAAAAGAACTAAAAACAGTAAAAGAACCTCACATACATACACTCATATTCTCACTTATGGAAATGTATAAACAAAAACAGTGTAGAAAATCATAGGGAATACCTTAACAATCATTTTATCCTGAGTCTAATTTGGTTGTAAATGAAACCTGTGGAAAACACTGTTCAAAAGACCGGTGGATTCCACCTAGAGGGAAAATAAAGGTGAAGTCATCCTCTGCTGAAGAATGAAAGGGCTGTGAAACTCTCATTTGGCTGACCTCCAGATGCCTCTAAAAAGTAAAAAATCTTGCAGGTAGCTTGGGAAGATCGAGTCTGAAAAATACTCCACACTACTACTGTGAGCTGAATTTCCACACAACTTGCTAAAGCAAGACAGAATATTGGCAATTTTGCCTGATGGCCAGAATTATCATAGACTGTTATTCCCCGTAGGAGAACAAGGGACAGTCAGTAGCTGTCATCGGTGTTTTGGGACCCTCAGGGCCACCCTGGAAGGAACTCCATCTACTTTAGATACCTAAGTCTGATCCCTAGCACATAGCACCCGAGGTATGTAAACTATGTTCCTTAGGTGGTATGTGGAAGTCCTAGATAAATTCAGAGGACCTAAATTAGATCCTCATATAAAATGATGTGAACATTTTTCTGCATCAAATTGGCTGTCCAAATCCCCAAAAGGTTTTGGCAGCTGCAGCATATCAAACAGACTCATGGCCACAGAAGAGGAATCCAGAATCCTGTAAACATCTTGGGAAGAGTTACAAACTTTAGAAGGAGCACATAAGAAAAAAGGTAGCACATAAGAAAGGGCATACTCAGTCAATAACCTAGGTATGCTTTTATCTATGACTGAAACCCATATTCCAGAGAACTATCCCACTGAGGTGGTGGTAGTGGACAAGGGGCTGGGAGTGGTGTGAGACAGATCCCAGACTCAAGCTGAATTTATATCCGTGCAAAGGAAAGAAGTAAGATTCATTGGACTAATGGAAGAATGCAAACATGAACATGATTATGTAATTTGGTGGCTAGACACTCCCATGGCATACGTGATACTTAACAAACTATTTTCATCTTTAAAGGTCTGGAATTTCCTTGAAGTCTTTTAGAAATAAAAACCCAGCAACATCCAGGGCTTTGGGAAGAACATTTTATTGCTAAGCATATCTTTAAACAAAATGCAACTAAGAAAAGAAAAAGAATCAAAAAGGAAGAAGAAAAAGAAAGGGAAAAAAAGCAATAACATCACAAAAACTCAAATAAAAATTCTTCAGGTTGTCCATAAAGCAACAGGGATATGGTAGAAGCCCACATACAGAAATGCACATGTTCCCAAAAAACTGTCCAATAGAAACTTACACAAAAAAGGAAAGTGTAAATATTTTTCCTTTAACTTAAAAAAGGAAAGCGAAAAGAAAAGGAAGAAAGAAAGCAGGAAATCATTTCACAAGACTCCAAGACTCCAAGAACAGCAATCTTTTACAGACATCAAGATATAATCAACTTTATATAGTTTCGGCCAGTTAAGTCATCTAAAATCGTGCTTTCATACCTTTTTAAAACCTGTCTTTTTTTTTCTTTTTAGTATAAAAAATAAAAAAGAAAAAAAGCTCAACCTCACACACACGCACACGCACCACACACACGCACACATACACGCACTGAAAATATTTGTTAACATGAAAGCATCTTCTCTAAATGTTTGAGAAGACTGGTTTTTTTTTGAATTTAAGTTCCCATGTGCGTGTGTGTATCTGATGACACTTCTTCAGAGTCAAATATTCATGCGACTTATAAACACCAGCAAGAGTAGATTTCTAAACCTAAACAGCTGATTAGTTTTCATCCGCATACAGCAAAAGTGTACATTTCTGATATTCCAGAGTTCTCAATCCTTCTTGGTTTTTGTTGTTTTTTTCCTCTCTATCTCTCCCTCTCCCTCATTTATTTTTTTGCTCATGATAGGCATGGCCGTCAAACCGCCTCACTATTGTTCTGTACAGTAAGATAATCCTTTTCACAATAACTGGGAAAATGTAGAAACCAAACAACCAAATTAAATAAGTTAAATAAAACAAAAGAAATTCCCAATTTAACCATAAAACAGTATATACACCATCAGGGTATCCATATAGAAATTATACTAGCAAAAAAATAGTAGTAAAATATGTAAACAAAATTTCAGATTTTTTTTTTTGACACAGGTAACTGTGACAAAGCTAAAACACACACTTCACATTTTAAGGTTTGCTTTTGTTGTCTGTTTCTTTTTACTCTGTTCTTCAAGAACATTCTCATTCCGCATTAAGACCATAACAGAACTTCTGTTCCAGTCGTCCCATCAAACATACCATGATAAATATATCTGTGTGTATATATATATATTATATTATTAAATTAATTTTTCTTTATTTTTTTTGTGTGTCACAGCAGCTTTATTTAGTTTCTTTTATATAAAAGAGGAAAAGGGAGAATAGGGCAAATGGAAAGACAGATGATCTGAAATGTCAAGCTACAAAATTAAAATATTACACATGAAAACAAGTTATATGTAAAAAAAAATCTATGTATTTTGCAGTCTTCTACAAGGGTTTAGCTTTTCTGACATTTATTGGTCTTGTCACAAGTTGAACTCCAGTGATGTCTCTCTGATCTCTTTATGAAACTGATTTATCACTATTTTTTGCATGCATTGCAATGTCACAGAACCAGAACCCAGAGGAAGGCTCCTTTATTTTTGCACAGTATGTTCAGCTCAGAACAGTTAATAATTTTTAAGAATTCTTTTTTGAATCTCCAAATCCTGTTAAACATACTTTGACTGTGCTAATGCATACTAAGTCCTGTACTCAAATAAAACCAATGACTGATCAGAACAGACCCAAACCAGTCTACTCTTCAGTTCAATTACAAATACTGGAGCCATATCCAAGGGAACCAGCTTTCCATGATAATTTTCTTCAGCACCACCCATGAATCACTTTCACTGCGTTGTTAGTAAACAACTTACTGCAAGACCAAGGGTTCTAGAGACAACACAATCAGATATGCAGAGTAAACACCATGGGTAGCTTTTGAGTTCATATATGGCAATAGTCTCTCTTTATTTATTAGGGATTTTTTTTTCCGAGATTTCTTCTCAACATATGGTTGACCCCCTGCACCATTCCACTCCATTCTTCCCTCCCATACCCAAAAGTAATCAAAAGAAACAAACAGTAAGTAACCCAAGAAACCAAACCAAACCAAACCAAACCAAAAATCCAACAATCTCCAAAATCTTTTATTCCCCTCCTCCAATCTCGAAAAATTATATGCATGCTGGACACGTCCAGATAATTTTGTTCAATATTTCTTTGTTGTTTAATATTGTTTGTATTTTTTAAATTTTTCTTTCCTTTTTTTTTTTTTTTTTTTTTTTTTTTTTTTTTTTTTTTTTTTTTTTTTTTTTTAAATAAGTAAACTGAAAAATTATCGATACAGTCAGGGTCACGAACATTGTTAAAGACTCACTTGGAGATATGAAACAAGTAAGCCATGAAGTCTTCTACTTTTGCAGAAAGTTCAGCGGAGGAGGAGATTTGGAGATGTCCAAGTTCACTAACAGAGCAGAGCTGTGCGCGCCATCTCCAGAACGCTAAGTGTGCTTTATAATACATTAGGGCAAAGATTGCTGACTCCAAGTGATGACTGAGACATTAACAGTCACTGCTGAAATTTTTTTCCCAATACTTTTTCCCACAAACGATATCTCCCAATCATCTCGTTCGCTGCAATGGTTCTGATATTTCAGTTAAATCTCATTAAGTATTTATATATTTATATATAAATAAGTATTCTTTTTTACACATAATACTCTTTGTCCTTGTTTTTCTGCTTCTTGTGGCCGCTCTTTGAGCTCTGCTGCTTCTCCTTCACGAGCGTGCCGTTGCTCTGGGCTGAGTTGCTGATGTAGTTCCGCGTCTCGTCCACCTGATAGGACCCCTCGTCCCTGTTCCTGTACTTGTACATGGCGTACAGGAGGATGAGGATGCAGAGGGCGGCAGCAGCCACAATGCCGACGACCATCCCCGTTGTGCTGCTCGACTCGCGGACCACCTCTGAGGCCCCCGGAACCCGTCTGATTCCTGGCTCCGTGGGGTTTGCTGTGGGCACATTACGGAACATGGGGGAAGTGATTAGCGGGCTCTTCAGCTTTGTGCTGTCTAGCTCATAGGCAGTGGGCAACGGAAGCAAGACTATGTCAGGCTGGGGTTTGAGCTCACGGTTATTCATTTTGCCGGCTGGCAATTTGGGCACCATCCCAGTCGAGGACGAAGCTGTGGAGCGGATCAGCTCAGGGGACAAAGACGTGGTAGTAGTCCTACCAGTTTCGGAGACTTTGTTAGGTCTAAAGTCCTTGGATTCCCACTTGGGTGCGTGTGCTTTGTAGCCACCTTCGAAGATGGAAGTGGAAAGACTCTTATCTGTTACCAAGGAGAAGGTGGTGTAAAAATCTTCATCATCAGTAGGGGGTAGGTTAGAGTCAAAGGTTTCCCCTGAGCCATACCCAGATATCACCAAGCCATCATCATCACAACCATCGCTGCCTCGGTCCGACAAGCAAGGTAACCCCGCCTCAGAGGTCATGGACAGGGAATCTTTGGTGGTCTCAATAATGGTGAGGAGGGGGCGAAAGGTAGGGGGAAGTGTAATGAAAGGTGCACGAGTAGCAATAGGAGGGATATCTAAAGGGTCTTCTACAAGTAGAGGGATAACTAATTCACCTCCTGGGATGGAAAAGAGAAAAAAAAAAAAAGAAGATTAGTACATTTTAATGACACAATGCACCATTTTCTGTTCACTTGACTCAAGGGCAGGAGAGGTTCTGGGCATTCTGAGAAGGTGTCAGGGATCAGGTTTCTCACCCTAGCTACACTACCAACATACTTTCCTGGGGGTGCCTTTCACTGTTCCCTCCCATCCTGTCTGGACGTTGGTAAATTGCATGTTCCATTTCCTACCTATGCTAGGTATGTACAGTGAAATACTCTGAATTTTGGGGAACACAAAGTTTTTGATTTTTGGAGATACTCTCAAGTGACTCTGTGGTCATCAACTTTTGGTAGTGATCTTTCTTAAGCATTTGGTTAGCAGACTATTTAAACTAATTATTTTAGACTTCCATAGACTTCAGTGTTCTCATAGATGTATTTTTTACTGCTCATCTTGCCAGTTTTAACTCTTCTCATTCTTTTTGTTTAAAATACAGTGGTATTTTCTCTGCCATTCTAATCTGCTCACCTGTAGTTTAGAAGTCCTTTCCTTAAGGCATTTCCCAATCATCCATTTCTTCTTGATCATTATCTGGCTTTTAAATAGTGGGAAAGTTCATGAAAGCAGGGATGGAATAAGAATGAAGTACTTACTGGGGTCCATGAGGGTACAGAGCCCTACTCAATGTTCCTCTCTTTTTAATATTTCTTTAGCATTCTGTTTGACGCTAGTGATGTTCCTTTTCTTCCATTTCTTGGGGCTACTAGTGCCATACTATCTTCATCTTCAGTTCTTCTTGATGTTCTTTTACCATAATTTGATTAGGAATTAGGATAGATGGGCTCAGTTCCGCGCACACTGTGTCTCACCTAAAAAATCCAATGCGCAGGCTGGAAGGTGGAAAGACCTTCCCCGGTTCTTCGTTCGCGAAGAGACTGGCCATTGTAATTGATGATATAACTGAAAAAGGACTTTGATGAACCAAGTTAGCACTTGAGCTCAGGATTGTACTGCAGAAGTTATCTTCACACTTACTGTTACTTCTTGATAAGCAGAGAGTTGTGATCAGTTCTACTTATTTCTAACATGATGGTCCTGCCTACAGAGGACTAAGAACAAGGTGGACTTATGGTCTACTCTTGAACAACAAACTGTACCTTTGTACCTTTCCACAGTATAAGCTACAACTGAAACAAGAAAATTGGTGTATTATTTCTATGATTTGGATTCTGAGGAGCAATATTGTTATTTTTAGGGTAGTAGCCCTGTTTTTTCTATTTATTGTAATATGACTATACCTCTACCTTTGAGTTTATGGGTAATTCACACTCCATTGTTTTATTCTGATGTGGAATTTTATTTATCCAATTATGTTATGATTCCATAGTCTTCTGCTGACATACCTGTTGCCAACACTTTTTTAGAGTGAGCCATATTACTTTTGAAAGTTTGTGTATAAACTGTCCCTTGGGTAATTTTTGTTGGGCTAGCCACTTAAGTAACCTGCTTAAAATATACACAAAGGAGTTCAGCTGATATCATGAGAGTCATCTAGATCTGTTCAAACGAGTGTAACTCAGTAAGTATTTCTAATGCATTGAAAATTTTATTTATACTCACCACTACTTAAGGAAGCATACGTAAAAGGAATTACAGCTTCTAAATAAATAATTCTGGGTTTTCATTATGTATTAATAACTGATAATGAACAGTTTGGCATTGTTACAGTGCTGAATGGCATTAGGGTCAAAATTCTGCTCTCTCAAATATACCCTATATGTTAAATGCACTTTTTCCCATTGAATTCTGCCAATAATGTCCACAGAAGTTCTATAAGGAATACTTTACAATAAATATTCCTTCTAACTGTATTTGGAGAGCAATATATCTGAACAAATTACATATTGAAGATGGCAATATACTGGAAAAGGTACTTAACAGTTCAATTAAATCTGGATAGCTGAACTAGCAATATGGTGTATTCTTTTCCTTAAGGAGAAACTAAGGGGTGACACAGTTTAATCAACTGAAAAAGTCAGAAATACCTCAGAGGTACCAGGGCAGAAATTAGGGCAAAATAAGAAATGTGGTACTTTGCATGCTTTTGTGCAAAGTTAATTTTAAGCTAAGATGCAAAGGGCAATTTGAACACATTTAGTTTCCTGAGCTTCCTCAGTACCATCATATACCTCTTTTGTTACTGGTTAGAGAATGAAGAAATAAGTATCAATCACTGCAAACTACATATTTTTTAAAAAATTATGTAAAAAAGCAGAAAATATAGTCTGCCAAATGGCTACATAACATTTTGTGCTCATACATCTGAGCTGTTTTCTGAGCAATGTAGAAACTAGAGCATGTAATATGATTTATATATGTCCAAAAGCCCTATGCGTGGCTTGAGTAGGGCATCTATAATCTATGCAAACAGGTGGGTTTGGGACAAACTTGGAGTATGCCTCAGGGGGAAAGTTCATCTCTGAGCCTGGTAAAAAAAATGAGTAAAAATAACAGTATTTAAGTCAGAATGGCATCAAACTGCTTGAATTTAAGTTCCAGAAAGTTAGGGATAGAAAACGTTCCTTTAAAATAAATTTTTAAGATCAGTGTTTTGTTGTTAAAGAGCAGTATTCATCTGTGATTTTCATTCACCATCTGTGACACTCAACTGGAAAAAAATCAGTTTGGCAGTTTTTAATTGCTTATCTAGAGCTTTGAAGTGCCTTTGTTCTTAAAAGCTACTATACTGGCACACAGCATCAGTATGCAGTTGATCTGCCATAGACAATATTTTGGGCAGTTTTCTTCCAAAGAGAAATTATTTTTATCCTGTTAGTAATTAATTTTCTGGAAGGAATCAGACATATCTTACATTTAATAGGAAGACTTTCCTTTTGCCCCAATACCCCTTTAATTTAAAACTAGGTCACAGTTTTATAGGTTTTGTTGATGTTCAGGACTTGAGCTAATGATTAAGACTACTGCAACTATTAAATGGTCACAGTCTCCTTGAAATATAAAATAAAGATGATAAACTTGCTATCATTAGTGGTATTTTACATAAGTGATGGAGAAAATATTGGAGCTTTTTAATTCCAGCAAGTCTGTTGGATGGAAGACAATAGGACAGAATCAGGACTAAGTTTTAAAAAGTTTTCATCTCACAATATGTGTGAGAAGAGAAATAATTTTCATGCCAGGAAGACTGAGTTCACTTTGATACAATTATTTAATCTCATCATTAGTTTTTATTTCAAATTGTCCAACAATCCATACTATGGTTATGTGCATACTAAAGAAATAAAGAGACTCTTTAAGGTCTTTTATTAGGAATCACTTCTCCATCAAGGAGTAAATTTGTAACATATACTTTTGGGAGTATCAGGTAGATGGTTGCAAGGGTGGTAATAATATATCTTTTTTTTTTTTTCCTCTCTGTAATGGAAGAATCTGTGAGAATTAAAAAAAGCTATGAGAGAGTAAGTCAGAAAAAGCACCCTAGGTATCAGATCTGGCTTTTTTTGGCTGCTGTTAGGCATCTATGCAAAACTCAGAGCAAACTTGAAGTCGTAGGTCTAACAGGATGCAAGCACAATGAATACTTCTTGGAGTACGTGATTTATGGAGGAATAAAAACACCCTTTAAAATGGCATGATAAAAATGCCTCTCAGCCTAAAAGAAATGTGTTATTTGAAGATAATAGGGAATGTAAATTCTGAAAAGCTCATAGGAAAGTGTGAGAAATATGATCACTGATATCTATGGAGGGGAGCAAAAGCAAACTTTCATATCATGCCTGCAAACAACACTGTTACTGGTACTACATTTCTATTTGTAGTAGACACAAGGGGGAGTCTGATGACTGAGGGAGCAGGAAGCTGCCTGGAGCCACTGGTAGTTTGATGGAGAACTGGTGCCTCTTGCCCAGGCCCCAGCTTGGTTTCAAGGTAAGCACTGAAAGATTTAAAAGACAAAGAGCCACTAGTTGTCAAGAATTACTTATGCAGGATTTCAATCCTGAATGGTTTGCTGTAGAAGGCAAATGTTTTTAAGATTTAGATTTCTAGAAAAAGCTAGAGGTGTTCCTGAAAAACCTTACATGACAATCTAGAAAGGGAAATACATTTGAGACAAGTTTTATGTTTGTCAAGTTTTTATTTTCTCACAATGTCTACTATTTTTTCCATTGCAAAATTAAATGCTTTGAGACCCGAATAAAACTTACAGGTTCAATTTCCAAATAGTTCTGTGCTTATGAAAAAAACAAAAAAGGCAAGGCTGCCACCTGGTTTGGGTCATGGCTTCCAAACAAATATTCATGTGAGATTTAGATTCTGTTTGTGGATTATATAGGCTGTTTCCTGATAGTTACTGGTTTCTTTCCCCATTTTTTCCATTAGCTGTTAAGCACCAGTTAACAGTGTTCATCTGTATGCTCCAAGTTCAGGATTACTTTAGCAATCTAAAGATTTCACAAAGATTTTCCAGATTTATTTTTCACCTACTCTGCATTTTCTCTCCTAAGCAGGGAATGGATGTTTCCTGAATAGAAATATGTTCTCTTGACAACACAATGCCAAAGAACTAAACAAAAAAGAAACAGATAAAATGGTTTCCTCCGCAGTGAAATAGATGCAAGACTAGTTTGCCCATCAACAGTACAGCTGAAAAAAAACCAAGCAACAACCCAACAAAAAACTGAATATCTAACTGGAAGGACCATTGAAAGAATGGAGGCCTGTGAGGTGGAAATCCTTATACCAAGTAGCCTAGTGCTTTGCTTGGCCTTCTCATTCCAAAAAGTGTACTTATAATAATTAAAAATTAGCCTTTTAGCACATATTATCACATATACTACTTTCATGGAGTTGTGCTTTTCTTTTAACTACCAAGAGCACTGGGGATATAAAAGGTCTGCTTTAGCCTTGGAGCTGCCCTGGTTTTTGCTTTATGAGAGTATTTATAGATATATAATTCATACCTCTGGAGCTGATCTCCAGTAAGAGTTCTCTA